ATTCCGTCAACAAAAACATCGTTTAGATAATAATGTATTTATTATACATATGTCGAAATTATATATATTTATACTTACATAAATTTACGTAACGTAATAAATTTTGTCAATTTTAAACTAGTAAAAACGTTATTTTATTAATATGTATTTTTTTCGTCTGCTCTTGATCTTAAAATAATATTTCCTTATATCTGTTTGATATAAAAAAACTAATTGCCATTTATCTGGCTACTCTCGAAATATTCGCATTTTAATACAAGTCGTCGTAATATCAAGAATTTTGAATTATGTCGAAGTCTTTTCATTCTGTCACAATCAGCTTAGAATTAGAAAAGGCTTTAGTTATAAATGTACAGAGAAAAGGTGTTTTCTTTAAACGTAAGATTATTAACCTTTTACACGAAACCTACAATTAGCCTACAGATTCAAATTACCTTGGTTAAATACCTTAGTACGAAGTTAAATAGTGTACCTAACTAGATAATGATAGTTTTAACGTAATAAATACTCACATCTCGTCTGCCCGTGATCACAGTTGCTGTAAAATAGCCGAAACGTCGGGAGTATGTAGTTTATAATCAAAAATAAAAAACGCGTAGTAAGTATTTAAATATTAATTTCATTTAAAAGATAAATGTAAAAAATGTCAGTGTTTATAGGAAAACATTTCTATATCCTTAGTAATGTTAAATTAAACTATAATTATCAAAGTTATCGAGTTTATACTATAATGACTACTCGTTATAGTTTAAGGAAAGCAAGACTTACCAACTTTGTAATTAAGAATTATACGATAAGAATCGCTATAAAATTGTATAAAAAATATTAGTTTTAATGTTAGAACATTTAGTGCATATAAAATTTAATAACGCGGAAAGGGAAACAACTTATATATCCTTAGTATATGTCCGCATCGTCACCGAATACGTAACGTTTTGAGTTTTTCAATCACGAATTTTCATTATAGGATATTGTTGTAGGAATAACCTTTGCTAGAAACTCTTTACGTGTCTTGTTCTACCTGGCAATTACCCAGCTATAGCCAGGGTCTACCTTACATGTTGTAAATATGCTAATTGTTTTTACGACCGACCGCCTGCCTGACATCAATCCTCTTTGGGAATACATTAATCAGTGATGTCTAAATTTTCTTAGAAAGTACATATGATTGGGAAAAATCACATTGGTACTTGCCAGGGCCAGGATCGAACCCGCGCCCTCATGCATGAGAGGCGGGCCTTTTAACCACTAAGCCATCACTGACTAGTAACTCTTTACGTGTAGTACGATACCAAAAAACTTGTGTTAAGCGTGTTAATAGTTGTGTTTGTACTAAGAGTGAGTAACATTAAAAGATAGTATCCTTCATAATAATTAAATTGATCGCATCCTTTACTTATAACTTTATCGTAAAACTCCCATTTCTATTATTTATCTTTCTAATAAAGATCATTATTACATTTTATTGTATTTGTTTTCATTTTTAATATAAAGTAAATCTGGTTTTGATTTTTAATAGATTTGTCATTTATTTTAAAATGATCATTTATATGAATTATGTAAAGTAAATAATATGTCTTATCAGTAATGAAAAGGTAGAAAACTTGTATTATATATATTTATGTAATTTTTTGACTATCACTCGATTCTTTGACTATTGAAGTGAACGGAGGTTGAAAAGTATATTATATCATACCTATATACCTATGTACCTATGTAACCTTTATATTTAGATCTAAGTGATGTCGTCTGTCCGTGATCACGGTTGCTGTAAAGTAACCGATACATTTGGAGTATGTAGTTTATAATCAAAAATAAAAATCACGTAGTAAATCCGAAAATATAAGTTGTATTTAAATGTAATCTTTATATTTTTACAAATTTTTATATTATGTATATATTTTATATGTAATTTAGTATTTAGTATATTAAAGGTACATTTGATATTATTTTCAGTCCGTAATTATTCTCTCGTAAACAACAATTTACCTTTTTGTCGATCTCTCATCTTCATAATTTTAAAACGCGATTAAAATCTTTTCTCCTCAATGTTATTAAAATAACAAAGATTTCGATTTTAAAATATTATTAAAGGAATAATTATACATACACTAGCTGACCCGGCAGACTTCGTACTGCCTCAATCAAGAAATAAATTATGTCTTATTTATTTTTTTGGAGTTTACCTTTAAGCCATAAATCTCCGTGTTTTGAAGTGCGATAGAATGATTGACATGTTAGTTAGTTGTCAAATCTAATGTCAAAAAAACGTTTGTATGGGAAATAGAAAAGGGCTGTTTTTATGGTTTTCCCAGTAATGAATCAATTTTTTCAGCTTTTATACCTTCCATGAACCTCCACGATCATTTCAAGACTAAGATAAGATAAATCCGTTCAGCTGTTCTCGAGTTTTAGCGAGACTAAGGAACAGCAATCCATTTTTATATATAAAAGAAAAAGATTACATAACATAGAGGAATAATTATAATCATAATCATAGATCACTTTAAATTGTATATTCTGACACAGTACATACTTTTCTCTCCTTATTTATTTGTGACTTACGTTACTTAACTTAAAATCAAATCCCTATAAACATACAAACGTATATAATAACTATGTTTTTTATTTTCTTTGAACCTGAGAACTAGATTTTCATACTATAATATGAATTAAATAATTAGTTGAAAAAATGTGTCTATTTATAACCATTAATAAATAAGAATATTCCTAATAGAGTAAATTGTTAGAAATTTAATTCTTATTTCAAGTATTCGCTAAAGATCGATTTATATTTTGGTTAATTTTTTACATAATCCTGTTTTTGTTATAAAATTTTTAATATATTGAAAAATCCTTATATACGTTGCAATAAAAATATATTTTTTTCAATTAAATGCTGTACATATAATAGTTTTAAATGATGTTAATATATTTTTAGTTTATATAAATAATATTTGAGATTATATTACTTCAGTTTCTATTAACAACCCAAAGTTATAATATTTTCTCTACGTTTAAGGATATCTAAATGAAAAGGTAGTATTTAGTTAAAATTAAATATTTTATTGAAAACAGATACTATTCTAATACAAATCATAAATTTTTTGTTACTTTTTGATTAACTAATAAAGCGTCTGTGGTTGACGAAAACTATTCTATCATGTATTGAATACAATAATAGTTCGTTTCTTTAATGTTATATTACATGGAAATAAACTGTCGTAAAACACACACATACACACACACACACTCACACACACACACACAATGTGTGTGTTTTTTTCTTAAAATCCTATTACTATATTTAATCTAAAAAAAATATGTTTTTTTCTGTAACTTATACATACAACAGATACAGCTAGGTAGCTCCTTTTAAGTTATAGAATTAACTTGTGTTAGGAGTTCCCGCTCTTCCACAAACGAAATCAAGTACATTAAGGTAACACTATGAAAAGGTAACATTATTATACAAATTATACAAATTAAGAATCGTAATCTATTTATATATTATTTAAACAGCCTTTATCTATTTTAATATTAAGATTTCAACTCAGTGAATGAATGAGCAGTATCATCATTCAAAGATAGGATTCAGAAACAATATTATTTTTCATTCACAATAACTTGTCTATAAGTTCTTGTTAATCAAAGAATTGTATACATGAGAATACAAATCATGAACTATTGTATCCTTAGAAAGAGTTCGCATTACACTACATACGTATAGTTTCCCGTTTTTCATTTAATAACTCAATTTAATACTATGTGTGAAGATTTATGAATGTACAACTGTTAACGCTTATATAGTGACGATTCAAACTTGGGATAAAAATACAAAACTTTTAAATACGTATATATTTTTATTTTACCTCTTATTTGTATTTTTGGTTGTTATTTTAGCAAATTTTATTAAATTGTTAGATTTTTTAATATAGGTATATTATCCAAAATAATCTGAAAGAGTAAGTATATACTAGTTCCTTATTTTAAAGAAAATTCATTCTCATGAAAGTTGCAAAGTTAATTATCTTTTATTTTGTAAGAGTAGAGTAATTATATTAAAAAGTTTAATTAAAAAAAAATGGACATGGAATCTAATTTCAATGTAGGTACAAACTCTTTTAAGACGATGAAATAAAATTATGTTTTAATCAGTACAACATTTATAGAGGTATGTGTATTTTTTTATATACCTACTTGTCATCTAGAAAGTCTCATTTTATTACAAAGAAAATACGACTGAACGATTCTCAGTTGGCATTAATTAACAAAATATAGACTATATAGTGAATTTATATAAAAAACAAATGGACGCCATCTTTAAATCAATAATTTTTCTAAAAAAGGAGGTCCAAAAAGGTGAGATACAACATTATGTGTATACTTGTATTTTTGTTCATTTACGTTTAGGTACTTTACATATTGTAATTACTATTAAGTTTGATAAAAATTACAATTAATTTACCCAGTATTAGTTCTGTAACGTATATTGTATATACACATTTTTATTAAATATTAAATTTCTTTAGGTATTCATTATTTTAGTCTACATTTTTTTATAACACATTATCTATTATTGAGCCATAAAGTAGGTTTTGAATATTTAATAATCATTTAAATTGGTTTTAATTTCGAGGTCGTGTATAAAATTACTCTGATTTTAATATATAAAATCCAAAAAATTAAAAAAAAAACAATATATTCTGTTAATTCATATTTAGTCTGTGTAATATTAATTCTTAGTTACATTTGATAATTATCAGGCGTTATATTCAGTAGGTATTGTACTGATAACAGTTTATTTACTCAAACCACAGCAGCTGTAATCATAATTAAAATAAACAACTGTACAAGCAACAAGTGAAACATCTCGATTCGTTTCCGAACGTGCAAATTGTCATATACACGTGAGACAGCATATAAACGTGTAACAAAACATGAAATATTTTTGTGTGTGCCCTCGCCCCGCGGCTTTTCCCTCAGCCTTCTCATTTCCTTCATTCTGGGAGGTTACCGAGCCCGCCAATCAACATATACGCCATGTTTTTAACGGGGCGGCGTGAGTCCTCTCTAGAACACTCCGACCTCTCACTCCCACAGACGTCTCTCTCATTGGCGGGAGTGCAATTAAGCGCGGGAATTCGAATTCTATTTTTGATGATTTTTTTTTCAGCGCTCGCAAAGAACGAGGCAACGATCGAGGCGACATCAGCCTCGCTGACGACGCTTTGACATTTAGCTGAATAAAATGGCGGAATATATGTTTGTAAAGATTAACACGTTCGTATGATTTAGAACCGGTGATTAATTCTGTTGCTGTGGGCGGGTTCGCTTCCAGTTTTTGTTGACGGGTTAGGTTCTATTAACCTATTTGATGGGGAATTGATGGGGTCTACAGTTACCTGAATGTTTATGAAGCGCCATTAGTTGATTGATTACTAATAAAAAATTGCTAACACGAGCTAGTGGATTGATATTAGCTTTTTTATAACTTTTTATTTGATTAAACTTTAATGTTGAAAGTTTAATTTTATTTCTTTTTTCTATTGTATTTACATATTTATATTTAGAATTTAATAGAAGCGTTAGTGCTAAAAAATAACCTTTAGGTATTTAGGTATCTCAAAAACCAAAACCTATTAAACATTTTAATTTTACTGAGCAGAATAAAATAAACCAAATAATAAAAGTATTCTCAAAAAACTGGAATCCAATTATGTATTATAATACGACATTAAACTATTTAAATAAAAAAAATCTATATATACTTTTTGGTTGAAATCTATAAAAAAATATAATATTATTATTTAATAATGTTTTATATCAATGACATATTAATGTAGGGTTTACATGTTGACATGAGACACGAGCTATAATGTATAGTATATACAGGGTGATAGAAATAAAAATAGGTTTTATATATAAAAAAACTATTTATAATGTAATTTAAACAATTAAACCTGAATTTCGGTAACTTTTTTTTATGCAAAAGGGGGCAACAAACAAACAAACAATGGGTCTTTAATATTTGTGACGTATTTCAATTTATATTGAATAGTTATTATAATTCGGTTTAGAGTTAAATAATATATATAAAATAAAACCATGTTTTTATTTTAGTATATTTATTATTATTATTCAGTAATATATAACTTAATAGCACCAACTTTCAAGAAAATTTGTTTAGTATTCGGGTCAATGACCTTATTGCTTAGTAGTGACAATATTTTCTTATTTTTCAAGTTCTTTTTAAATTTTATTAAAATATATTTTTCGTAATCGAATCATTCTATTTATATTTATATAATTATTTAGTGAATGTGATGTGAATGTTATAATTCACTCCGTATTGCTATCGTAATGTAGTTCTGTAACATAAAATACTCTTAATGTGTAGAAGCGTTGAATGATAATATTAATTGTTCACGATGATCGTACACCACATTAACTTGATGAAAACGAGCTCCAATTCCGTGTTATTTTAATTATAAAATGTGAATAACACTCCATTAAACACATTTGACATCACGCCAAATCATCTCCATAACTGTTTCGCGCGATGGATTTACAAAACATGAAATCACTTTTGATCGTTTCGCGCCAAACACCAGATATATTGACGCGAGAAAACTTTGATAGCACCGGTTTCCATTAAAATCCAACGTTTCTGATCAGGTCCGACCAAATCATAGCTATAATGTTATTACTTTGGCGAAATTATTCGCAATTTACTCACGTTTTCGCAACGCGCTAATTTTACATCGGCGTGGGTGTTTACGTCACTGTGACATCTGATTGACGGGTGAAAGGGCTTGAGTTAGTTCAGTTCGGAAAACGATCTTTTATTAACAGCATCGCTAGTTTACATATAATAATTAAAATTAACATAGAAATTATAATAATATATTATTACGATGCGCACTCTGTATATCAGTATTATAAAATAGCTTTTTACGTGGATGAATTAGTAGATTTAATAGAAAGTGTTGGTTTAGCTGTGGTCCATTAGCGTCGGGTGACATATGCTCGAGTGGTCATAGATAAGATAGAACCGTATGTCATAAATATTAGCGCTACCGTTTGGCATCCGTACACAAGCCGAGGAAACTGGGATTAAAGAGTAAACATGGACTGTGTTTAACAAAATACTTGTATGATAAAGATGTAAACCAACATTCAGACAGGCAACAGAGATTTTAGATAGCGATGCGGCTTAGCAACTTGTGTCTGAGACATTATCTGGCGGGATGTGTGCGCACGGACGAGAGGTGCGACGATTATAACTAACACATTAAAATAATAAAACAAACTCATAATACGTCCTTATATTCATAAAATTATAATTCTATAAATATAACTAAGTAAATATATTATTATTAAAAAGATTTATATAATATTTTATAAGCATATTTAAAAAAAAAAATAGATAAGGCATAGATGTTACATCATTCCTATCATGATTAAATTAATTCTCAGTACATGTAGTATCGAATGTTCTGACCAATGTTATACTGAAATTTATTTATTTTATTTATATATATCTCATTATATAATTATTTTAAATCAATTGTATATTAATTACAATAAAAAATGGCTATATATAAAATAATTCCAACTTAAAAGAAATATTAAGTTCATGATTTCATTTCTTGCTGTATAAAGATCTATTTTGGCTGTATACAATTAAATGATTAACAATATTAGATAAAAAATCTATTACAAATATTATTTTAAATTTAAATCTAAAATAGAGTATATTTAGTTTTAATCAACGAAAATTTTTAAAGCAAGAAGTCAGTTTAAATAGTTGTGAATAAAATTCGAAATTTTTCCACTGCCAAGACTAAAGTATTGCAAGTATTAATTTAATTTGTGTGGAATGAATTAATAAATTACTTATATTTTCAATGAATATACTGACATAATGATTAATAAATATGTATATATTACGTAATTAAATAATTTATTTATATGTGTAATGGTTTGTTATATTCTTTTTTATTAGTTATTATAAGATATAGAGTTTTTAAGCCCTAAATAACAATAATCCGTCAATAAAAACATCTTTTATAGAATAAAAAGATAATTAAAATAAAGTATTAAGTAAATTTGTTAAGTTATAATAAAAAAACTATCGCATTAATTCTCATTTAACGATCGTATTTTTTGTGTGAGTAGTCTCATCGACTCATCATACTCCAAAAATGACTTACATCATTTAGGAAGAGTACTAATAATATCATAATCAACGATTTTACAAACCACAATAAGGAAATTGGCTTTCAAATTGAAGAAACTGTATCAAAATCGGTCGATCCGTTTAAGAGATACGATGTTACAGACAGACATACAGAGAGACACGTCAAACTCATTACACCTATCTAGAGAGACTATTTTTCTATTTTTTTAAGTCAGTGGTGACTATTTTTTTAAGTCAGTGGTGGCTCAGTGGTTAAAGGGCCCGCCTCTCGTTGCCGAGGGCATTGGTTTGACCCTGACCCGGGCAAGTACCAATGTGATTTTTCCGAATCATATGTACTTTCTAAGAGTATTTAGACATCACTGATTAATGTTGATTCCCAAAGGAGGGTTGATGTCAGGCAGGCGGCCGGCCGTAAAAACAAATAGCCAAAAACTATTCACAAGATGTAAGGCAGACCCTGGCTATAGCTGGGAAACTGCCAGGTAGAAGAAGAAGAGAGAGACTATTTTTATTTCGCTATCTGTTTTAGGTTTATGTACATATATATTAAAATATATAAAATATTATTTTTTAATTCTACTTCAATGTCCGCAAACGTTATCCAAATTTTTCAAGTAATTAATTGGTACTGCTTTTTTCTACGCACATAAAATATATTTAAACATTATTTTCTTTCAATTCTCTCATAAATGCATTATTATTTGCAAATAATTTGAAAACAAATTATAAGTCGATCATTTTATAATCTGTGACCAAACTTTTTTTTAATATTAATCCTGCTTAAATACTCCTTTAATTAATCTATCTTTTTAAATATATAATATATTATAGTTCTATTAATAAAATAACATGTAGAGCATATCAACATCAATTTACCTCCACTGATAATAATGTTTAAATGGAGTATTCTATTAAATGTGTAAACATTTTGTGTTTCAGAACAATGAGACGCAACTATGTTGCATTATACATAAGGTAAAAATAAATATATAAGAAACTTAATTATTTTATTATATATAATAGAATTTTTTAATAAAAATTTAATTCGTTCAGAAACATTTTTATAAAAAAAAATCAATATAATTTTTGAATAAAAATTTAATTCGTTCAGAAACATTATTATAAAGAAAAATCCGTTCAGAAATTCAGTTCCGGTATTTGTATATTCTATGATAATTATAAACTTTATTGAATCTGTAGTTACATGGCGATCAGGTGTTTTCGGGAACATAAATCTTGCAATGATTTAGGTATTGCATTCAGAGTAGCCATGATGGAGTCTAAAAATTAATAATATATAAAATTCAAAATACGTTCAGAAATTTAAATATATTGAATCCTATATAATAATTATATTTTTTAAATCTTTATATACAAGGTATGTTACAATATTTCTTAACATGGTGATTTTTTCATGTGATACTAAAATTAATTTGTATTTAATATATTCTAGCTTATATATAACTTTAAAATTAAGATATATATACTAGCTTTCCGCCCGCAGCTTCACCCACGTCAAGTTCGGTTATATCGCGTTTCCAAGAGAACCTTTCAAAAGTCTGGGATAAAAACTATCTTATGTTCTTTCTCAAGGTCAATTCTATCTCTGTACCAAATTTCATTAAAATCAGTTCAGTGGTTTAGGCGTGAAAGCGTAACAGACAGACAGACAGAGTTACTTTCGCATTTATAATATTAGTAGGGATTATTAAATATTGCAATATCTTTATTTTACATATATATAAATTATTTTTCTGTCACATATAATGTCAAGTTATATGACGTGCTTGTCGAACTGTCATCAATAATAAAATTAATTGATACGACATGACTTATATATAGATATATTTATTAAATGGACAATTAAATTTTAAATTAATTAAGGTTTATAGATTTGTTATTGATATTTTAATTTTAATAATATTTTGGAAGTTTATATATATTTAAGTATATTTAAAATGTATCGGAGAAAAGGTAAAAAGTATGCGCAATTCATTTATTTATATTAACCTTTGTATATACCTAATATGATTGTTATATAATGAAAAGTTATTAATATAAAGAAACAGCTTATTTACACTTAATAGAATATGTAACTATTGCTAAATTCTTATTTAATTCTTGCATTTCGACTACGTTACTAAAAAATTATATACAAATCAAATTTTAATGAGATATTTTGTATATATAAGTAAAAAAAAACTTTTTATTTTTGCTAAAT